TCTAAGCCGCCGTATCCAAACATATGCAAGTTTTTGCGTTCTTGACATAAAGATAATGAGAAGGGAAGAGAAAAAAAAATTGCAAGCCTTTGTTGGATTCGCACGCGGGACCTGAAAATGAGATCCACGGTTAGGTATTTAAAGAAGGCTTTGGTTTGCCAAATTCACCGTGAACCTGCCTTCTTTCTCTTAACCTCTCAAATTGAAAATATGGGATATCTATCTCCGAATAAACAGAATTGCAGCCGTTATTATTTGGCTCCACAGATCAAGAAAGTTAAAGGTTCCCCTTTCACATATGTGCTAGTCCTTCCTTACTCTAGGGGGCAGTGCTCATCTCCGTTTCAAAGCCGAAGAGCCAGCGTTGTTCGAAGACGCCTCCATGGTCATGTGGCCAGCATGACTCAACGCCGAAGGCGCACGAAACGCTGTTCCCTTCCCACCAAAGTGGTACCTATTTTTCTACTTGCATTTTTACGTGCTTTCTAACTGCTGGGTTGGCAGAAGCTAAGACAAGCAGCTAGGGATTCGAACCGCCGAACCGCCGACCTTTCTGATCAACAAGCTCAGCGCCTTAGCCACTGAGCCACTGCGTCCCACAGATCAAGAAAACCTGCCCTTTTTGAGTGGAAGGGCAAAACCCCACATTTCCCCCCTTCCCACTCCACCTCTGCCGATGATGCTTTGTTTTCTACCTCTTCTCAAACCGCCTTAGAGAATATTAATGTCTTAATATTCTTAGTAGTCTTAATATCATATTAATGAAATTGAGATTTCAAAAGAACGTGGAAGTTTAACCAGGTCTCTGATACGATAAAGGTGTGTTCAAGAAAATCTGACCTGACAACGTGGATAAAACTATAAAAAAATAATCCTTAAAACATAATAAACAAATTAAAAAGAAAAGAAGAAACCAATAAACTCAAGGGGGCAACTTTGATGGACCCCTGGGTCGTTTTCTGCCGTGTCAGTTTTCTGTTTTCTCCTATAGGCGAAGATATTGAGGAGGGAGGGGGCACGGTTCCCCCCCCCCCGCCCAGTCACCTGCTCCCCCCCTCCCACAAATGCCATCCTGGCTGAGCAAATCCAATTATGGGTGGATTAATTTTTTTATTTATTCAATGTATACGCCGCCTACCCTCCCCGTTGCCGTGATCTCCGGGCAGCTTATAAAGAGGATGAGAAGATGAAAATTATAGATAGATGATAGATAGATAGATAGATAGATAGATAGATAGATAGATAGATAGATAGATAGATAGA